TTACAGTGAATTACTTTCAAGCAGCAGTGACGGTTTGGGCAGAACTTCTTATTAACACTAATTTCTTAAATGCTTTGTCTTAGAATTTTACCTTGCGGGAGGGGGGAGGGGGAAGCATCTTCTTCTGCAAACTCTATGGAAGTTGCGTCGAAAATACCATCTTGAGTAAGAATTCTGCAACAAATTGGCAGAAAAAAAATTTATTTGAAAAACAAATTTTAATGAAGTTAAAGGAGTTGGAGGTATTTACAAATACTTCATCCAGCTCTCTTCCACTGTCTTTCTGGTTCTTTCAAGCCATCATCATCAATTTTTTAACCTCTACAGGATAACAGAGTCGTCCATTATTTGCTGAAACAAACTCCGAGTTTTCGTTCCTTGCGGTGTTCTTTTTCCTCGGCTCTGTCTTCGAAAAATTTACTTTTAGAAGTTCTACAAACAAATTTTTTTTCAGTTGTTCAAGTTACAAAGGTTCTTTATTTTTTAAAAGACCTCTTATTTGCTGTTAAAATTTTGCCACCTTTTACACTTTCTTTTGATGCGCCTTCTTTTGGCTAGCATTTCATTTAGAGAAATTTTCTTACTGGTTTGACAAAACTTTTACTTTTCGGAATGTTTATTGGTAATTCGCAAACGATGAATCCTCCATGAAATTCTCGTTTTTTAAAAACATCAGGAATGCATCTAACTGTTACATGCAAAGTATGTTGAAAGTGAATGGAATTTCGAATGCAGCAATTTCAAAATGCATTTGTGGTTTAAAAATTATATCGCGTCATTTGTTTTACAGCTATCAAATTAAATTCTAAAAAAATCTAATTACCGACTGTAGTATGAATTAAGAATTGCAAACGCTTTGTCGTCAATTCCGAAATGATCCAAACATGAACATCGGATGGGGACAAGCAAGTATAGTTTTCTGATTAGTAGTCAGAGACTGTTTTCAGTCAAAATTTAGAAAATTTAAAAAAACACCCATCTTTGAGTGATTAAATTGATATTGAGTTATTATTCTACTGAAGTGATTTACAGACCAGCTCAAAAATATTTACTGAAGTCAACAGCGTTTGTAGAAAATATTTAATAAAGACGAAGTTTTAAGTGCGTACGATTTTTTAGAACAACTGTTAGTAATGTAAGTTGAATTTAGGAAATGCAAGTTCTAGGTAAATGGTAGAAAAAAAATTATTTTGGTTTTGTGAAGGTTTTTTTCCATAAAAAAGGTGGAATGAAACCAGTAGAAAAATTTAAAGTTCAATTCAAATAATTAGCTTTTCGAAAGGGGTTCCAGAAATTGCCAGTTTTTTTGAGCCTGTAACTGTTCTTTTTTTCACTTCTTCTTTTGGATTAATGTGGAGTTTTTTTAGAAGTGTCAATATTTTCAGATTGGAGGTGGAGGTGGAGATGCAATTTCTATTCGTGGAGAGCTGTCTAAAGGTTTAACATCTTACTGCTCTACATTCAATAATCCACCGCTTACAGACGACCAGGATTTTACGATAAGTGAATTAGAAGTTTTCAGTGTACAAAGTTGTCCAACTTGAACAGTTTAGGTCTTACTGTTCTTCATATTCATGCTGGTGTTATCCCTTCTAGTCATGGTGTTTCCGAATGTTTTGCGTAATGTATTTCGTTTGATTTCTCAACACAGCGTGAAAACGCCTCAGTAAATTCCTTTTCTTACCCGTGAAACGTTGTGGACGTCAAGAATTATTCTTTTATTTTCTTTTGCTCGTCGTCCGGCAACAAAAGTGAAAATTTGACAGGTGTTGTTGAGTCATAATTGATCTCCGTTCTACAGTACATCTAGTTCAGGTCGTTTTTGTCTTGCATTCCAAAACATCAAAGATTTTGTTTGCTTTTTATTTCTTTTATATGCTTGTAAAAGTTTTTTAATTTGTTTGTCTGCCAGCATACGTTGATAAATATAGGCTTTAGGTTGGTAGATATTTTATATTAATTTATTCTTGTTATTGTTATAAAATTTTCTTCAGCATATTGTAATATTTTGGGTTTGCATGAATGTTGTTAATGCCTTCTAATTATTGACGGATTTTTGCGAAAGTTAATTTTTTTCTTTGGCAAAAAACTTGGGAACTGTTTAGTCTTTTTATTCATTTGGACACCACGTGTCGTTGTTTTTTCTTTGAGATTTTGCTTCAAGAGATCTTGTGATCTCCCCATATAAAGAAGGCATTGTGAAGTTCCGCTTGCATTTTTTTCGCATCATTGTATGGTAGTTTCCCGCATTTGTTTAAGACTTGAAATCTGTAGTTCCAACTGATTCTTTACGCCTTTTAAAGTATTAGGCGCTTTAAGCACATTGTTTGCGAAAAAATGACTTATAAAAGAGTAAGAGCTTCTTTTGCCTTTGTTTTCTTTGTAATGGGATTCTTCAGCCTATTTGAGTTAACAGATTTCTTTCATACTTCGTGCTTTTCGCTAGTCATTAAATTAAACTACCAAATAAAGTGTATTTTTTATGCCCCACCGATCGCCATCTTTAATATAGTAGGCCTTACATGGCTTAGCAAATTACATCTCTTTCACTTACGATTTTATGAAAAAGTAGTAAAAAATGTTGGATTTATTTGAAACATTCGCGAGAGGTGGTTCAATCTAAGAAATTTTGGTAGAGAGATGAGACCGAGGTACCAAAAAAAGTACCTTTAGTAAAAGGGTAAGGAGTCATGCTAAGCCAGATTAGCAGTAGTAAGTTTAGAGTATTAGTTTGTTAAGAACCGCTGCTAGGCACAGGGTAAAGAGGTATTCCAAATTAACACCTATGGAATTGAAAGATCAAGTAAATTTCGTAAAGCGCAGAATAGTTAGATTTAAGAAAGATTAGGAGATGGGGCTTCATAGCTTTGTTTCCCATTCAGCTTTGAGCCATTAAAAGCAAAAAGCTTCGTATGGTTGCATGGGTCGTAAAAAAATTGTATGGAAGAGCAATAAAGTGAATGGTAACTTCGAGAAACTTTACAGTTCCCATCACAAAAAGAGAACTCAGCAGTTAAGTTTGGCACCGAGACTGAATAGATCATAATTCAGTGGTCTCCTACGAGCAACACTGTAAGTTTAACCCCAAGAGCTATCACTCAAAGGCTTTGAAGAAACCTCACCTAGCAGACTAAAAAGCACTTCAGAACTCTTTAGTAAGCACTTCCCTTCAGCTTAATCTCATACCCGACCAGGTCATTAACGACATTTCACACGTACTCCTGAGTTAGCCCTCGTTAGCCTTTAGGACTTTTGAACCTAAGCTTTGTGACGACTGCGTATAATCATTTACGAATTGCGAAGTTTGTTACATTTGATCAACTCTGGCCTTCGACCGAGGCAGTGACTACAGGAATTCTGAAAGAAGGCTTTATAATGGGAAATGAGGCAAAAATTTTTACTTGTGTAAGAAAACTTTGAATACATTGCACATTTATCATGATGCGGTGAGGTTGTGTTTCTGAGTTGACGAAGTCATGTGATTGCATTTCACTTCCATTAATTTCTTTAGCTATATAATTGGGGAGTACAACTTTCGAAATGGCCATGTTGTTGGCGAATAAGCTCAGAACTAGCAACTTGTTGAACACAGACAAGGCTATTCTGGGAATCTAGATCTTACAAATCTATGGATACAAAAAATTTTAAGAAAAAAAAAAATAATATCGGAAAATGATAAGAAAAATAAAGTACTTCAATACTATTTATGTTAAAAAAGAAAAAAGAACAAGTAAACAAGCAAACAAGCAAACATAAAGTGGCATATGATCTCCGAATGCAGTATATAAAGTGAATTGTCTAAAAAAAGAAAAAAACTTATCAATTCTGACTTTTTCTTTTTTTTTTTTTTTTTTTTTAATCGTCAGGGAAAAGCAAAAACGTTGAGCAGAGCTTTTCAATGATACATTAATCCATTGGAACGAAAAGTTATGACGTGCACAGTGATTTGTTGGCAGTTTTTTTTTTTGTGTATATAGTGGAGAAAAATTTTTGTATTAAAGATGAAAAAATATCTGAGAATATGAATCAAAGAAATGATGATGACTAATCTGTGCTAACGGTAACATTGAAATGATCATCAGGTCAAATGTACCTACCCGGCTGAGAGCATATGGGTGCGGGACAGCGGCAGCAAATATACTGGTAAATTCACTGCGCATTGTGTTCCAGTGGTTTCAGTTGTATTCAACCTACTCCATAGATAGCAAAACTTGTTGCCGTTGTTGTTTGCAGTTGGCAGTATGACAATTTTTCTATTTTACCCCCCGTTCAACTTTTATCAATTCTTCCG